ACCCTAAAACCTACTAGAATTTAGTAGATCTGACTGTCGTTTGCATACCAAATTAGCAGATGTTTGTGTCAACACTGGAAACATGTGTTGTTGACAAACAGGGGGTTCTGGTCAGCAAAGTCCCGCAATCTCTCATCATTGTCACATGGAGAACCAAACCCAAAGCAGCCACTAAGGTGCCTGTAGAGTCGCCAACTCCAGTCCGGCCATTCCAACCTCCGACGGAAATCAGCAGATCGCAGCAAGGGAGTCTCAATAAACACTTACAGCTGCGAGTTAAACACCTCTACCGCGCTATTCGGCAGCTGAAATTAGTGCGTTCACGGAGACATTAGAAATGTTCGTGAAGTAACCTCATGCCATCCGGTCAGTAGCTGGTTCCCAAGTAGGCAGTTGGTTTGTCTATTGGAAGAGAGCGATCGCCATACCGTGCCTACCAGAAGAGTCGTGTGGGCCGCTGTGATATGAAGTGAGTTGGGAATTCGCACCCGGTACATTTATTTCCTGAGTCGAGAATTCGGACTACGGACAGGGAACAAACATCACTTACTATTAGTAAAGACTGCGCGCCATAAGGTTTTGATAACTAGGGTCCAGGAACGTTCGCACATTATAAAATCCAATACTACGAGTCCGCTCCCGAATGAGTAGTCGGACTCGTATACTATTCACCCGCACCACTGGTCCAGGGTTGTAACGCGTGCCGGTCCCCGCGGACGTAGTTGCATGAGCGATAATACTGTGGTCGGACATACTTTCTTGAGTTTTCTTATGAATTACGAATATGAGTGCGTCCCTAAAAGCCGCTTGGATTATTTTTTCAAGGTTGTCTTCTCTAGCACATTGGCTCAAAAACTTAATCGCAAAGGAGTGGTGGGAAGCAAATTTATCTACTAACGGTTCACGGTCGCCATATCACAGTTTCGACCTCGGTCTCTTTGGCTTTTTAAAAGGTTTTCGACGTGCCAGACTTCAGCACTCTGGTAGCACTGGCGCGCGACTGCTTTTTGTCAGACATAAGAGTGCTTATTTTGCAGCTAACGTTCGCTGAAGGCCGTTCCACTATCTGTCACCTGTGGACGCGCCAGCTGGCGTGCAGCTAGGTTGGTGGACAACTCGCCTTCCCAACACAGTGTGTAGGCTCTTCGGAGTTGCCCTATTTCTATTTCATTTTGATACCGGAAAGACGATAGAGGAAACTGTGCTTCTGGTTGTGTACGGGGCAGAGATGTGCTTTTGGACAACGAATTTTTTTTTTATGGGAAGCAATTATGGGAGTATCAGGTTTTTGTTCGAGAGTGTCCTTAATTATATGAAGGTCTAGATAAAACTAAATTTTGTTAACTCCCTCCTCTGACAAATTTCCATGCTGTGCTTCTTTTTAGTAAAACAGATATTTCGTTAGTTAGTGGGCGCGAGTAGTGCAAACTAATAATGAACAATACGAGGTGACCAGATCGACGAACGTGCGGATATTTTTAGTTTCTATACATATTGATAGACGCGTGTTATCAAGACAATTAACTCCCAGTTTGACGAGGCCGAGATCCTCGCAAGAGGTGACAACCACGTGAGCCGCGAGCTGCTCGAGTCATGGT